AATAGGCTGATAAAACTCGTCAAGTGCTCTTAAATTTTGGGACAAAATCCAAAAAGTAGCTTTATCTGAATGCGAACTCAAGTTTGACTTGTCTAAAAAGTGTGTATATTCTTTTGAAGGAATTAGATAATCAGGACCATGGGCATGGAAACTGTACTTCCGGCTTAAGTATATACTCTAACTATAACTAAGAGCTTCGTAATGAAATATAGCAACGGCTTAATTCAAACCCAAATCAAACTATCCGTCAGTCATTACTTTCCTTGTCTTCCAAATTACTGACAAATTGCTAATATTTTTTGTAAACTTTCCTAGATGGAGTTATCGGATCTTTACTATGCAAAGGATTCCTATATTGAGACTGCTAGTGGCAATAAAGTCAATCGGCACTCAGTGCTGTGTGGGAGTCATAATATTGTTCTGAATGGCAAAACCATAATAATGTCGAATTGCATCATTCGAGGTGATTTGGCCAATGTTCGCATTGGACGGCACTGTGTTATCAGTCACCGAGCTGTCATCAGGCCTCCCTTTAAAAAATTCAGCAAAGGCGTGGCGTTTTTCCCGCAGCATATTGGTGATCACGTATTCATTGAATCTGACTCTGTTGTAAATGCTGCACAGGTTTGTTTTCTTTTCGTTTTTAATGCTATCTTTTATTCCTTTGTTATTTTGTTAGGCTAATCCTCAAGTAATTTTTGTCCATTTTCTCATTAATAGCAAAATATCCTTTTTCGGGTAATCACTTATTTTTCGAAACTCATTTTATTTTTAATATATACTGTATTCATCATAAGGTAATGAAGGACTGATTCGAATAGACCTTACGATGCCCTCAAATTTGATCCAAATTTGCTTCCAAAAGGGTATTTCATTTAGGGTGAAATGCAGTTTCGACCTCACCCGGGTCTCGCCAGCACCCTCAATTGGGATCTAACCTGGGTGCCAAATCATACTTTCGACGATTTACCACACAGCCCCTAGGTGTTAATGCGTCAGATGGCATATGTGACTTTCGAGCCAAGCCAGACCTTTCCAATATCACAATTATAATGAGGGTCAAGAGGAATCCGCCGTCATCTTCTGGTGGAACCGACCTTCGAATCTCTTCACTCAACACTTTTACTCGAAATTGAAGTAAGCTCAACAATTATGAAACAAGAGATTCCTCGAAACCCAACTTTTCTTCACATATATAATAGAGGTGTCAATGAGGCAAATTTTGTTGTAGATTGGCGTGGGAGTTTTTTGCTGTCGAAAATGCGCGCTGCAGTATCCAAGTTTTATTCCTGTTAATGATGCTGATTAGACCTGGACTAGGTCGAAACTGCAGTCCATCCTTGATTAGAATATTTTATGTGAGGCAAGACCAGGTGCAATTCATTGGAATCATGGGGTCTGCTCATACCATTGTGATAAAATTCAATTATCCGTCCTTCATCATTTTATTCAACCTAAGGCGACTATAACTCTTAGTGAAGGCGGACTACTTTCTCAGACTGTGAACTAATTACTGACCTCTTTCGACCTAATTTTTTTTCTCTGTTTTATTTAGCCCTGCTAAAGCCCTAGAACACTGAGGCCAAATACGCTCTTTTTTAACTCATTTTTAGTGAATCAACTTTTCTTAGTCAAAATTTACTCGCCTTGGAACTTACAGAGGCCCTTTACGAAGTAAAAAGATTGAAAGCAGGAAACATTTACTACCTTAGTTTAGTGGAGAGTTTGTTTATATTATTGTTTATATCAGGATTGTAACTTTTTTGTGTTAATTTGTAGGTAAGACTTTAATGGGTTTATCATTATGTGTCTAAGTATCACAAATAAAACGCATGGCGATTGAAAAATAAGATTTTTATCTACTTTGGTATTATCTCATAATAATATGCGATAATAGAGGGGAAGAGTTAAATTTTCCTATGGTTAAATATGTATTATTTATGACCAAATCTGCTGATCTTGTGATTCAATCTTTGTCCAACTTTTTACCTTTTATGATCTCAAGGTGTTGATCTAGAATATACCAAAAGCCTTCATTGCCTCGTTTATCCGACCTGTGAACCAATTACTGACCTCTTTCGAACTAATTTTTTTCTCTGTTTTATTTAGCCCTGCTAAAGCCCTAGAAAACTGAGGCCAAATACGTTCTTTTTTAACTTTTTATTAGAAAAATTATTATTACAAACAATCAAAATGTCATCTTTAAGATTTACTGCGTCAAATGACGTAATCCCTTTTCTAGCCTCCGGCTTAAGAGTTACAACTATCTAGGCTATAAAGGAAAACCTGACAGCATTTTGTATTTACTCATTGTTCCATCATTTTATACAGGTTGGTTCCTATGTTCATATCGGACGCAATTGCGTTATTGGCCGAAGGTGCGTTTTGAAAGATGCTTGTGCCATTCTGGACGATACAGTGCTACCTCCAGAGACTGTGGTTCCTCCTTTCACCATTTTTGGTGGGTCTCCAGGCCGTTTTGTTTCTGAGCTTCCGGAATGCACCCCTGATTTAATGGCAAATTTCACCAAACAGTTCTATATCCATTTTAAGTCGACCATATCTTCCGATGCTAATGTTGGCGGTTCGCCGATCTCTATGTCCAAACGAGGCTTTGCTCAAAGACCAAGCATAGTAAATATATATGCTCGTGGACACAACCGACTCTACGATTTGGTGTAGGTTTGATTCATTCGGCTCGAACTATTTCTCTCAGTAATTTTGCCATTTGTCTTTCGCCTGTCCTGTTCACTGTCCTTTGTAATCTTGTTCGTTTTTATTTTATTTGTCTGGTCTCTTCATTCATGTATGTAATTTTTATCCTACCGCTCTTCTGTCTGTCCTAAATTGGGAGTCTTAATTTAAGATATCTCTTAAAATTGTAGAATTTAGATTATTAGTAGGACTTAACATTTGTCGGGGAGGTATGTTCACTTTAAGCATTTGCATGAGAATCACCGAAAAGACCCTCATGACGATAATCTCATTTTTAGTGAATCAACTTTTCTCAGTCAAAATTTACTCGCCTTGGAACTTAATGAGGCCCTTTATGAAGTAAAAAGATTGAAAGCAGGAAACATTTACTACCTTAGTTTAGTGGAGAGCTTGCTTATATTATTGTTTATATCAGGATTGTAACTTTTTTGTGTTAATTTGTAGGCAAGACTTTAATGGGCTAATCATTATGTCTCTCAGTATCACAAATAAAACGCATGGCGCTTGAAAAATAAGATTTTTATCTACCTTGGTATTATCTCATAATAATATGCGATAATAGAGGGGAAGAGTAAAATTTCCCTTTGGTTAAATATGTATTATTTATGGCCAAATCTGCTGATCTTGTGATTCAATCTTTGTCCAACTTTTTACCTTTTATGATCTCAAGGTGTTGATCTAGAATATACCAAAAGCCTTCATTGCCTCGTTTATCGGATTATTGGTGTACATAGATACTACATCAAAACCTACTAGTACATCTCCTATTAGTGTCTATGTACAGTAATATTTCGATAAACGAGCCAATGAAGACCTTAAAGTTTATTCTAGACCAATATTATGTTATCATAACAAATAAAAAGGCAAATATTTAATCGTTAGATTTGTAAATGTGATCATGAACTTATTTTGCCTACAATGGTAAGTTGTATGAGAATACACGGGGCTTGGCCATATTATCTTCTTTAATCCCTATTTTGGCTAATAACTATACAGCCCAGTCACGAGTTCGTTCCCAAGAGGCATTCTTTTTTCCTAAGTTATTCGTTAGATATATTGACGATTACTTTGCTATATGGCAAAACTGAAAAAATAGTTTCGAGTGAATTCTTTGGCCATATAAATAGAATAGATGTCAATATTAAGCTTTTTAAAGGATTAGAACAAGAAAATAAATGTTGATGAGCCAATATGCTGGTCTGAACTGTCCGTGCTTCGGATAGAGCCACCTTTCCTAGTCCGTTATCGGCGTTTTCTGAGGTTGTATCAGCATTCAATAACTCATGTTTTTGTGTAAGATCTGAGTTTTAATTAATCTAAATTAAATTAGCCATAGAAAATATCATATCCTAGCTTGCTTTGCAGACGAACCTCTTTATCTAGGTCAGAGTCGGTATGCATTTTTGGTTTTGTTGATCTTAGACGATCAATTATCTGCAACAGACCCATTTCATTTCGACATTGTTTTCGCAACTTGGTTATATTGGCAGGGAGATCTTGAGGAATCCACCTTGTCTGGAATCCACGGTAAGCGTGATAATTTCCAGAGTCGGACTTGGTGCATTCCCAGACGTCGTAGTCGGCATCGTCAGTAAGCCTTGCCGATCTTAGCACCTCACTACAACTCGTTAAAGATAAAAGTGAAGTCGATCCTTTGACCTATTGTCTACTAAACGGTTGTGGCATTTCTTTTTCTGTCCGGGGATATTCATCTATCCGATATCCTCGTATCACCGCTTCAATATCACAATTTCTCACTTGTTTATCTAAACCAACTTGGAACCTATTCACACTTCTCGCTGGTTTCGACACCCCCATGGCCTAGAATGCTGATCCGCAATCCTCTCAGCCTTCGTCGGATGCTTCCTTTATCTGCATGTTCTAGCAATTTCACTTCATCGCTGCCACCGTATCCGTGCGACTTAACACATGCCTTACACTCTGCTTCAAGCCTTTGATTGCACGTATACGCCAGCCTCACTGAACAAGCCCCTAAGGTCTGGATTCTCAAGTAGCACGAAAACCTAACTTGACGATGCAGATCCCCTTGTCAATGTGTCGTATGTGCACCGAGTAAATCTCACTGTTAAGCCTTCACTTCATGGACCACGTCTATGATAGAACTTATCTACTAATAGCTAAATTTCAATAGTCTCCGCCGTATCTATCGCTTTTCTATCCATAATGCCAATTATATGACTTTCTTATGCCGTCCCAAAAATGTTACAATTCTAGTTTATTCGAATAGGATCACTGTAGACGTCTTTAAGGGCTTGTTCTGGGAGGCTGGCCTATACGTCCTACCAAAGGCTTGAGGCGGTGTAGAATGTAATGCCTAGAATAGCACGGACACGGTAGCAGCGATGGCGTGAAATCACTGAACCAGGCAGATAAGGGAAGGATCTTGTATCAGCATTTCCAGGATAATGGGAGGGGATGAGGAAACCATCGTGGAATGTGAATAGGTCTCAATAAATCCGGTCAAAAGGACACACCTCAGCTAAGTTTAGATAAACAAGATATTGTGGTATTGAAGAGGTGATATGAGGATATAGGATGGGTGAATACCCCATGACATAAGTATAGATATTATAACTGTTTAGCAGACAATTTGTCAAAGGATCGACTTCACATGTCGCTTTAACGAGTTGTAGTGTGGCGCTAAGATTGACAAGGCTCACTGACGATGCCGACTACAACGTCTGGAAATGCACCAAATTTACGGTCCGACTTGAAATTATCATGCATATTATGGACTCTGGACAAGATAGGTTTCTCTAGGTCTTTATGCTAATATGACTTAGTTGCGAAAACGAAGTTAAACAACTACTATGCAATGTTT